AAGTGCCTGTGGATCCAGATGATCTTGTTCCAAACTAAGATTTGACGCAATGAAATTGAGTAAATTCAACATGACATTTTTTTCAGTGTATTATAATGTTGCCCTCCCCCGAAGCTGTTCAATCCGAATTTGAATCAACATTATAATTTATTCCTCATAAAACAAGTTGTTCAATTGACAATAGTGTACAGGAAAAATGTCATTGTCTGTTTGACGGTATTAAAAATGGTGGTGCTATCGCCAACTGCTGGCTTGGCATGCATACTACATTTTTTTATTTTTTTTTTTTTCAATCATTTTCTTACATTTAGGTGGCCTGTCACCCCAGATGCCAAATAATGGCCCTCAAGTGAGGAGGAAAAAGTAGTAGAGGTTGTAGTTGTCAGGAATTAAAAATTGTCATTTTGCTGTTTCACACTTTGTGCCAACCTACAAATCACACACACAACAAGGCCTCCGTTAAAATGTTTCCCCTCGTTGTGTGATCTTTTCATGATGCAAGTTCCTAACCAATATAGAATGCGACCAAAAAAAATGCAATTTGGCTCCATGCGTAATCTAACTTGCTTTGCCTCACTCCCGCGTTGTCAGAAAACAAAGGAAACGTACATTAGCCCTCAAGCGTTAGCGAAGCACTCAATTATCTAAGCTGCGATGAGATGATCTGTTTTTTGTGACTAAGATCTTAAGTTGCTGCTGTCGCGATAACAAAGTAGAGAGTAGTTTTTCATCGGTCCGACTGTCATTAACCGATGCCAAAGCCGTCGTAAAGTCATAAAAACTGTAAATATTTGTGTGGGGAAACACTTCTAGGCCAGAAATATAAAACAATCAAATGAAAAACAGAAAGTACAACATAAACCGAGCCTGCCTTCGCGTGCTGCGTGACAACGTATTCTTAGGCTGGAACCTCAAAAGCTTTGTACAGTATATGTGTATTGTAAACTGAGGACCCCCCTGTACTTTACGTGGATGTCAAGTCAACCACAAGCATCCCCTTTCCCTCTGATGAATGCTTACTGCGCTCGTTATATCCTTTAAATGTCAGTCGGGACTAGTTTTGGAAAGATTAGAAAGAAAAAAAAATATGTTTTTATGATCTTTTAAAACATACAATTACAATACAGAAGCTCAGATAGACCCAACGCGGTGATTGGGAGCTGGCAGCTCGTGCCACGCCACTGCTGGTTTTACTAGGTTGTTGTCGTGCCTTAAAACGGCAAAACCCAGCTCCAAGGAATCCAAACTAAATACTACTCCAAAGTCTAAAAGTGAAAGCACCGCATGAACCTAGCCATCATTCAAAGCCCTAAAACAAGTCGAAAACTATGGTGACTGTGGCACAAAAGCGCAGCGACGGGGTTTAACGACCGCGCCGTTAACCTCACCTGAACTTTAATGGCTCATTGTTGTCGTCCCTCTTATTTTTCCTTCCCTTCACTTTTTCTTCAGACAGACAATACTTTGAATGCGCGGGGAGACATTTCAGCCGTAAATCCTATTGAGGGAGGGCTAAATATTGACTGCCTGATCCCACACTGGCGTCTCTTGTGACCAAGAGGAACCTTTGTCTTATTGTCTGCCGCCATGCGATTGTAATTGAATTGTAAACAACACCCACCGTGTTATTATTTACGGCCTCGGTTTGATGTGTTTGCTAAAAGGCAGTGAAAACAATGCACCACGCATCTATAAGTCATGGGAAGAAAATAAGTGGGTGGAATTATTTTATTTTTTTTAAATAAAAACATACGGTGCTTTATGAATGGCCACGAAATCTGTGAATGATAACGACCATTAATATGTCCATTGAGCGTGGCCGCATTCATGCCACATATCAAATCCCCTTTGAATGAGATCAGTTCCCTCCTGTCAGAGCCCATTAGATCCGTCCCACAGTCCCAGTGGCCAGCTGACAGGGGAGAAACCCGAGCTGCGGCCTGTAGCGGCATTAGCATTAGAAAATGAGCAATCAGCTGGAATGAAGCGCAAGAAGAGGGGTCGGAGGGAGCAGGATGGAGGAGGGGAAATAGCCTCTGCAAAATGTATCTCCGCCGAATTATTTCCAAAGCGCCCCACAATATTACATATCACCATTTGAAAGTCATTGGTCATTTTCAAAGTCGCGACAAGTCGCCCTTCACTAGTATTCAAGTTAAATGTCATACACAAAAAAAAAAAAATGTCGTTTGAATTTACTCCTTCGACCCTTTCATGCACCGTGTTACCTGATAACCTGATAAGCTGTCCACTGTAGTAACCGCTGTCCCTGAAAGGGTTAAATACATCTACTTGAAAGTGAATGTGGAGACACATGATTTTAGTTCGCGCAACCACTTGATGAAATATAATTGAGTAAATGCAGCACTTTTCATTTCGGTGTACTTTAGAATTCTGTCGTTTTGGTGAAAGCAACCTCAAAGGGATGCCTTACAATTCCCAGAGAGTGAAATTTTCGTCGGCATATTATGTAAAGGTTTAGCAATGGCGCTCTCATTTTAAATCGTCATTTTGCTTGTATGCACATATAATCACTCAAACTCAATATTCTGACAAATGACACGACCGCATGTGAATCGGGTATGTGGTACACCATGCGTTGCATTCATTTGATTAAATTAGCCATGAGGTGTGCAGAACTGCAGTGAATAATACAGTTTGGTTTTTCACCAATGTCAACTACAACTGCGCTGTTACATTAATACCTCTGTAACGGTGTCAATAAAAATTGAAATTATTAGCATTGGAACAGACAAAACAAACTTAAGACGTGAATTCCTCTGCGTTTTGGTTTAGGGTCATTTGGAAATGGCTCCAAAGACAGATGACTGATTGGGATGCAACTACATCACTGTTTTATATCCCCGGTAGGAGTTCAGTCATACTACGAGCCCTGGAATATGCCACAATGAAAACTTCAAAACAAATCTTCATGTACGTAAGCCAAGTGACTTCCAAGCAATCAGTCAGTTGCGCTGGAATGATTGACATCTATTTCTACTTCAACAATGGTGGCCGAAAAGCCTCTCAAAATGACGTAGTAGGAAGGCAGAAACCAAAGTCACAAAGATCGGAGTCATTCATGTCGACTGATCGAATGGAATCACGGATGATTTCAAAATGCCTGCGGTACAGCGTAAGGTGGGACTTAAACAAAACCCACAATTGCTGACCGCGCCAATGGACTTGCGGAGGATTTTAAAATGCCGTTGGCACGGCCCAGGGCAACAGTTGAAGAGAAGTGCGGGTCAGAAAGGAGTAATAAATGCCGATTGGGCAATTGGAATGGAGGGTGATTTTAAAATGCTCGCAGGATGCTTCTCATATATCCAAAAAGTGAATCTAATGGCACAATATGCATTGGAATGTGCTTGGCTAAAATAATGTAACAGGTACAATATCACCTACGCTTTATTATTCATTCCTTGAATTTAGTGCACAACTGAAAAAAGTGAAATTGTATGATTTCCAATACTGATCTCGAGTCATAACTACCTGGCTAAATGCCGTAATACTTGCGATTTAACACATAGGGATGAATCGGAGGTGCTGGACGGAGTAGACATGCACTTTTCCCAAGCAAAATGTCAGGTACGGCTTTTTTTTTCCGACTGCGCACGGAAAATTGCGCGGAACCTCTTTGACTTTGCGAAATAATTGAGTTAAAACACTCGATAAAACATTAATTAGCTTAGCGGTCTGGAGCAGATAACATAGATAAACTCCTATGTAATTCATATTGATTAGAATATGCACATTGAGTGCGGGCTCTTAAGACAAGTTTTCCTTATTAAATGGACACAAAGCCTCGGTCATTATTCCTGCAAAGAGAGATCGCTTTAGATTTTATCTATTCACATAAAAAGCTTTGATTGGATTTCTTTCTGAGCGAGTCGTGCAATCTATTTTATTCAGGTTTGATTGTATTACCTCTTAATTAGTTTGTATATTGAGTAGAACAGGACGTATTGATTCGGAGGTGCATTCATTTGCATTGCAAAAATCCCCCCTTTAATCCAATATAATCTCATCTTTACTCAAACACAGAGGAGTGCATCTTTGTGGCACTCGTTTTTTTCCTGCTTCTTTTGCTGTTTCTACTTCAAAAGGCAACCTTTTCAAACTGACGCCATCCATAAGAGTGGAACATGATGTCAAAGTGTGATAATCACTTTGGAGGATTTGCCATGAAAAAGAAATTACAGTTGTACGTCTACTTATGAACGGCTCTTCATACGAAATTTTCAAGTTATGAAACGCCTCGACAGGAAAATATTGCCTCTTGTTACGAAAGAATTTTCAAGATACGAAAGGTAAAAATACAGGATGGTCTGCTAGTCGCAGCTCCGAGTTTCATGAGCGCAACATACTTCTTGCTGCTCTGCCATTGGCTATTACCGAGCAACATCCTGGCATCTCATTGGCTAAGAGGTACTTCTACAGTATATGTCTATGTGTGCAGATAGAAAAATAGATAGATAGATGTGTGTCTACACAGCGTCCTCGTCATTTGCCCCTCGGGCCATGAGTCGTTCCGATAGTTTTACGTAAATGATAATCACCCAGAAAAAGTGTTCACCAGTCCGGCGATCGCTCACATTGCTGATGTTTGCCTTGGACATTTTCGAAGGATTGTTAATAGCCGACAAAAGCAAACATCCTTGGATCAGTTCTTGACAAAACGGCAGTCAAAAACCACTTCTGAGAGAGAACATGAATTAAACGGCAAAAAACGATGAGGACGCAGTTAAACGTTAAATGACCATCATTGTTATTCTTTATTCTTTGTTTTTTACATTTTGCACAACTCTCATTTATTGTGCAATCATTTAATTGTAACATGTATTTGTTACATATTTTGATGCATTTTTATGCTTGAGAAAACATTTCTGTCTGAATTTTGGGGGGCTTGGAACAGATTAGGGCATTTGCATGGAAAATGAGTCTCTACTTACAAAATCTTCTAGTTAAAAAAATTTCTTCCAGAACTAATTAATTTCCTAAGTAGAGGCACAACTGTACCTGAATTCCAATTGGGAATTAAATTAAAGGATTTTTTTTTTTTTGTAACAGAATTGCGGAAAGTGAATAGCACATCCGCCTCGCAGTTCTGAAGTCGAGGGTTTGAATCCCGGCCCCAACCTTACTGTGTGGCCTTTCTCTGGGTACTACGGCTTCCACAAAAAAAATGATATTCGATTCATTGAATAAATTGTCCTGACGTGTGAACATGAGTTTCAACTGTTGTTTGTTTATAAGTGACCTGCGATTGGTTGGAGAGCGGTTCTGGGAGGATCCTCGGCCAAAGTCAGCTGGGATAGGATCCAGCTAAGCATCCACATCGGATGGATGGATAAAAATGTTGCTTGAAAGTGGCGGTTTGGCTCGTGTCACACAACAGACTGTGGTGGAACTGTGATTGACCGCTGTGGTGAATCACATGCTGCTGTGCAGTGAATGGGCAGTATTTTCCCTTGGACTTTCATTTGGAGGCATGTTTGGGAATGATTGACATCAGGAGGCATTTTGCCGTGTAAATCCACGGTTGAACCCCCGCCGTGCTAGCCGCCGGGTGTAGCGTCATGTCTGAATCGTCAATGGGAGGCGTCAACAAACCACCCGCCACCCCGGTGCGCAGCAGCAGGCCTCACAATGCTCGGCAATTAACCTCACCTGAACTTTAATGGCGCACCTCCGGGACCGCTCCGCCCCGGCTGCGTTAAAATTACTGTCACTGTGGTGGCGCGGAGGGCAAGTGTCAGCACACTGGGTGGTTTCCACCTTGACAAGCCGGAGTCGTGCAATACACGATAGCGCCAGCCACATGATGCCTGGCTTTTAGGGGGTGAAGTGGTAGGGCCAAATGCAATATGTCTGCAAAAATAAAAAATAAAAAAAATCCTTTGAGTCTTAAATAAAACAGAGGGAAAAACATATTCAGAAAAAAGCCAGACATCTTCGCTCCGAAGATCATTTGGACATTCGCACAAACAAAAGTTGTAATTCTATATATTACTGCCACCTAGAGGAATGGAGTGTCAAGCGTCCAGTGACATTGTCATCACTCCATCGTGAGCACATAAATCATTAGCTTTGGCTTTTGGGATTGAATGACAACATTCTTGCGCACGCAGGGCTTAACAAAGACTAAATCCGTGGTCAAACATAAACAATGGATCAGATCATATTCAATAAATGACGAGGAGTCCGACGTCTGCGTTTAAGGCCAAGCTGCGCTCTCTGACGGTGTGTGAGCCACGAAACAACAGCTGCTCACTGCCCATCCGACATGTTTGCCACTTTGTACGTGTGCATTTCAACTGTGATCTCAAGCCTGTCTGATCCCGGAGCTTTGCTGGCGGGATTTTTGGATGCGTCCGCAGAGTCTGAAGTCATCCTGGCTAATGCGCCCAGGCAGGTTTTTCGGCCGGGGATGTTCTCACCATGTGTCGGGGAGTTAGTGCGTGTGTGCATGTGTGTGTTCACGTGGTGAGTCACAGCCGCCCAAGTGTGTGATCAAACACTTGTATCGGGCTCTGGCTTTATAATCAAGTCTGATGTTTTATTATCGCCATGTTGCTGGGCCTGAATGCCGATATGGACTGTCTGTGCACTGTTCGCCAACTTCCAAACAAAAGATAATTGTGAGCTGTAGTGCTGATGTTAAGCAAAGTGACCTTTGAAAGCTAACTGGAGGCCCGGTAACGAAATAAGAAAACTAAAACTTGTACATTTTGAGACAATGAAATTGCTGTGTTTATTATTTTTTGCTTTTTGGGGGCAGGGTGGGGGGCTCAAGAAATGGGTGGGTGAATCCCGATGAAAAATGGATGTCTTTCCCCTCAACCACAAAACAATCAGTCGTGCCCCCCTGGTTAGTTCAAATAAATTAGTCCCCGACACCAGTTTCAGCAAGAAAGACAAAATCGGCAAGACATGTCTATCATAACAGGATGCACGAAAAAGTCTCAAGGGGGCATGGCCAGAACTGAACAGGAAGTCAGCCATTTTGGTTCAAAGATGCAAATTTTGGCATATTTCAGAGTTCGTACTCCTTCTAGGGAATTTTGGACACAAAAGGAATGCTAAACTT